ATTTATTGTCATATTGTATTATTCGGAAATCAGCCAAAATGTTTACCTGCGATTCGCCAATTTTCCTCGAAAATCCGACATCCATTAAAATTCGCCATATAAAAAATATTCCAATAAATATCCAGATTATATCCTCATAAAATAGATTCCTATTTAAATTTGCCATACATTCATATATATTCATATATATTCATATATAATCATATTTAATCATATATAATCATATATAATCATATAAAATCATATATAATCAAATGTAATCATATATAATCATGTATAATCATATATAATCATTATAACTCATTATCCCCAAAAAATTGAAGTTGAAAACACCAGAGAATCGAGGCTCCTCACTTGATCATCCCAGGTTTCGAGGCGAAGACATCGACGTAGAAGTCGCAAGCGTCCTGGACGTGTTCCGCTGGGGACTCTGGGAACCACCAGTGGCACGGAACCAAGAGCATGACTACTCTCCTAGAAAAAAAAAAACATGCTTAGTGGAATATGTGTGGTTCATATGTATGTTATTCTGCCTGTCTATGTAATTACATATATAATTATATACTATTATGAATTATGTACTGGTGTATATATGTATATATGTGCGTGTGGTCCCTACATAGTCGTCGTGTGCCCGTACATATATGTTTGTCTAGTGTGTATTTAGATGTACACATGTGAAGACTTTGTGTCTAAAAGTAGAATAACACCATCAATCGACAATGTACACAAGAAATGGGGTGTCTTGCTAGTGCACACCGGTGGTATCGATGGAATGTGGAAAATTTCAAAAGGTGCAGTATCAACCTCTTGGAGCACACGTAAAGATGGTGCTGTGAACCCTCAGTTGCTTCAAGAAATTAGGATTTGGCAATGGCGATGGCACCATGGAAATTGCACAGACTTCCTCACTCTCACCGGCCACGCTCTGAGCAGACGCTTGGAGAAGTGAGACGCCCAGAGAACAGGGAAAAAGCGACCACCCCGCCAGCAGCACAAAACCCTGTAAATACCACGTCATTCCTTCAAAGTCACTGAATTTTCCCCGGGAAAATTTAAGGTAATGTTCATCATAAAATGTGTATGGCGCCACAGCGCCAGAAGAGTTTTTTTTCAAAAAGTGCTTAACTGCTAGTGCGGTTTCCCACCCGCCGGGATGTTTATGGTACCCATCTCACTAGATTCTGAAATTTCATCACCATTAACCCAACAGTTGACCTACAAGGTGGTGGTCCCCCAGTTTAAAGTTGGCTTACAACCCCCATTAACTAGAGTTATATCTCCTGGTCAACCCAAGTTATTGGAGTTATGTCAACCCCAACTTTAAGCGATTTCGAACTGGTACAGCAGCCCATCAAATAAAATACTAGTTGGTTGAAAATGGTTTCCCCACTATGGTTTGTCATAATCCCAAGAAAAAAAGGTAGTAAAAGTCCCTATATTGACCCATAAACCAGGGTATTTTCAATGGCTCAGCTATGATTACTTGGATTTGCTTAAGGAACCGAAAACATGTAAACAGTATAAAATCATCCGCCAAAATGATGCCCCAGTCGTTCTTTGGGTTTCCCATATCCAAAAAACACCACATCATCGACGCAGCAAATCCAGTCCCCGGGGTCGGCCAAGACGTCCAAGCGTCTCAGATTTCCTCAGGCTGGTTTACTGTGCCGATGATCCTGAAATGATTGGCGAAACCACCATTTTTCAGATAGAAAATAGTAAAATCCCCCATTAAACTAGTGGCATCCCCATCTATTTCTATCTTTTGGATTACTTTTTCATGTAGTAGAGGAAAGCCACAAATAACACTACAAATAACACTAACACCATCTCCATCTTTTTACCGTATATGGAAAATTCTCCTGACATGGTCAGTTTACGGCATGGGGTTTACCACAGTTAGTCCCTCCCTAAAAGAAACTGGTGTCAAATGCTTCTATGATTTCCGGCTCTCGCCGCATTTTGCCACATAAATCATCTACAAGTCTATGTCAAACTGGTTTCACTTTGGGGTGAGTCAGTTCTTCTGCCGCCATCGAATACCCTCTAGTAAACGTTTACATAACTATGGAAATTCACCATCCTATCAATGGGTAAATCGGTAAATCCACGAACTTTCTATGGTCATGGCTTCAATAGCTATGTAACAGTCATTACCATCGAATAAATGGTAACAAGAAGGGGATGCTTCATCAACCTTCAAAGGCACCTGTGGCTTGGGTCGATGGGTTGGTTCTGGGTCGTTCTTTCATCAGTCGTAACTCCCTATTTTTAGGATCAGCAAATGGGATTAATATCCATTACCATCTGGTTATATAACATAGCCATGGACAATCACCATTTTTAAGTTCAGTAAACCATCTATTTCGATTAGGGCCATCTATACCATGGCTATGTTAGTCATAACCAGAGGCTAATAATGAGATATAAGTTGAAGTAAGATTAGTATCGTCAGTATTGTATACTGTAGTAAACCGCCATAAACCATCCCAAATAGAGCTTCATTTTCTCACGAAATTGGGATTTAAAAAAAATGGGAGGATTTGATGGGTATATCATCCGGCAATGATGCGCGCTTTTTTTAAAACACTTGGGAGTAGCTATGTGGTTGGTGGACCTACCCCTCTGAAAAATATTAATCGGCTGGGGTTACTATTCCCAATATATGGGAAAATAAAAAGTGTTCCAAACCACCAACCAGTAATTGTACGTTATTCTACGGCCAGGGGCCAGGAGTCTCCGTTTCCCGGAATGCAATGTATCACGTCTTGACGAAGATCTTCAATCGGTGCAACATTTGATGTTAGTTGGGATAGTTAAGAGTTTGGGCGAACGGCGGCGCCTGAGCCTAAACAAGTACCATTCTATACACATACTTGTGCATACGAGGTTGTCTGAAGATAAGGTTATTACTGCAAGAATTGATGCCTAATCATCATGTTCCCCCTCAAAATCACAATAAATTGGGGTATCCCTCGTTTTGACAAACGCATGTGTAAATACATGATATGTGACATGTAATTCGTTGTAATGCGGGTGAAACAATGTCATAAATCATCCCCCAGTCATCACCATTTTTATAGGTGGTATGGTTCCCATTCCCAGTCATGGGTGGTTTATGGCATTGTTTTAACCATCATCAACCATGGACATTCCCATGAAATCACCATGAAATCCCTATTTTTCTTGGCTAAATCACCATTTGTGTTGGTTAAATCACCATTAAATCACCATTCCCGTTTCCCCATTCCAGTTTCACCCAAATTAATTGCAATAAATTGTGCATATTCTGGGACCCAGAGTTCATCTGAGACTCGTAGCTCTTGGTCCAAGTTCGAGAACTCCTGGACGGTGACAGTCGGTAACAGGGTCCGAAAAAATCCCCTCTTGGCATGATTCAAACCATTTCAAACCTATCACATCAACGAAACCTAGGAAAATTGTTTGTTTATGTTCCTCTATATTAACACAAATCCTGATTGAATGAATAAAAATGTGATGCTTGACAAATAAACAGGGATTCAAGCAACAACAAAGGGGATATCACCAAGCAAAGGGTTGCTGCAGTTGCGACTCGAAATGGAAGCAACCAGTCCTCTCCCTACAATGCTTGACTACATGGGTTTATCTGAAAATATGCTATCCCGGTATCCCCAATTCCGAAGATCGGGGGATGAAAAACATGGGGATCAAACCGACACGGGATCAGAGCTGTCCACCCAAACACCTCTTTGAAAACACGCTGTATCCAAAGCATCGGAACGCGCAAGAATAGAAAATCCTATAGAAATTGGAAAGGAATGCAACCAACCAGAGATTGAATGGGTTATGACGTTCGGAGGAAATCAAGCAGAAAAATGGGTTTGTCTGAAAATGCAATAGCCAGTGGTTTCGGTCTTAAAATGAGCGATTTGGGGGGCAAACCCCATTTTCAGACATGCCTCATCATCCATTGGACGGGGCAGTGTTCCAAATATTTCAACCCTGGTGCTACGGCTACAGGCTTCACCCAAACTTTGAGTCCAAAGGTGTTGATAGGTCAAAGGGCGTCAAAACCCTGGTTTTCACATTCCAAGTGGAATCATATCGTCTATTTTCCGATGTATTATGGTTGGTTCCTCCTGGCTTCTGACCCAGATCGACATCTTTGTGAGTTCATGCTCCCAGTTGTTCAACTTCAAACCTTATATGATTCAATTGATACCTTCCATTCATTTTAGTGTATATTCACTTGTATAGGTATTCAAGTAATTTGCTAAACATTCCCGGGGCTTTATTGGTTCGCATGGATCCTATATACTCAGATGAACAGTGTGCAAAACCCTCTGTCATCCCTTACTTTACAGTCTGATTGACAGGGATTCAAGATTAGTGGATGATGGTAGTTTTATAATCTTCTATAAATATTGAATAATGGTATCTCATATAATCACCAACCAACGGGGCTTGGCAGACACTGCTTGAACATCAACCAGGTCCGTTGGCAACCAACCCCGTCCTCCGCTGCCAACTCAACCCAGCTCTTGTCGCTGGCAGGGTCCACGGCCTCATATCCACAAAAGCAGAAAGACATCATCGGAAGACATCATCCGAAGACATCATCGGAAGACCTTTGGGTGTGTTTGAAAATGGATGCAACCAGCTATAATGAGGATAGCTTCTAAACATATATATATGATATCAATGGTGTATATATATATATACACATCATATATATATATATTATTATATATCTGATATATCCTCTACAGTATATCTTATATTATATATAAGCAATTAACAATCTGGAGTATTTGGGACTGTCTGAAAATGAGGGGAACACTGACCCTCAATTCATGGCAAGTTTAAATAAAACGGGAAAAGGGGAAAGGTGAGTTTTCCAAACATGGCCAGTCTCAGCCAATGGTCGACAGCTGGTTTTGGGGATATTTCAGATCGTTATAATCCCCTAGGGAAATCTTGGAATTCCAAACACCCCAAACCACCAAAGCACGGGCTGATCATCTTGGTTATTGGCTGGTTACACCATAGTTTTTCTTCCTGCATCAAGATGAGAAAATATGTATACAGATCAAAGTTTGAAAGCATTACATAACTAAACTGACAGATCTTTGGGGATTCATTAGGATATGACATATTTTACTACAGCAGCTTTAAAACAGACCCATTCCGGACCATTGACCGACCCACCGATCAATTCTTTCGCGAACATCCGTTTCCAAGAACGCCTGGGTCCTCGAGACCAGGACCCTCGTCTGTTGCCGGGGGGGGTGAAACCCCTAAAAAAATAAAATAAAATGGAGGGGCCTAAGGAAAAAATGCCAATAAAATGAGAGGGCATAAGGTAAGATAGGAAAACCCAAGTAAAATACAATGGACAGGTACAAAAAGAAAATGACGTCAGGCACCCTCCACCTGGCCATTGACCCTCGTCTGTTGTCAGGGGGGGGTGGAACCCCTAAACAAATAAAATAAAATGCAGGGACCTCGGGCTCGTGCATTTTCTTTTGGGTTGATCTTGTTTTGTCTTGTTTCCTTCTTTGATTGGTTTTAACAGCAACATTTATCCACATCATGAAGCAAGTGAGATCTCCTTGGGTTCTCCTGGAGCAGCCGCGAGGGAGTTGGATGTTTAAATGTTCCTGGATGGCTGCGTTGTTTACAGTCCACACCCTGGCTGTGGTCAGCACATACCTTTGCTACTGGGAGGCTAGGCTGCAAAAACGTTGATGGCACCGCAACAAAAAAAGGACCACCTGAAGTCCTGAATCACAGACCGGGCACGGAAATCATTTGAATATATTGAACGCACCTAAGGTACACGTATGAGGATTGCTATTCTTACCCTTGGGCACCCCCATTTTTTTTGTAGGATATGTTCTTTCAATTTTCAAAATTAGGTCACTATAGTGCCTATATTGGGGGTTGGTTTGAGATGCCTGTTTTGGTTTGTCAATACTTACCACTAACTATTTGAGGGGTCCATGAAGGGTGTCTAGATATTAAGCCTGGAATCATGTATGCTGGTGAGCTTCATAGTTTCATGGCGAACAAATATGTAGACTGCCCCGTGTGTCTTTGTGATGGCTGCCATCCACTAGAAATTGGGGGGCCCTAAGGCACCCGCATGAGGATTGCTATTCTTACCCTTGGGCACCCCCATTTTTTTTGTAGGATATGTTCTTTCAATTTTCAAGATTAGGTCACTATAGACTATAGTGCCTATATTGGGGGTTGGTTTGAGATGCCTGTTTTGGTTTGTCAATACTTACCACTAACTATTTGAGGGGTCCATGAAGGGTGTCTAGATATTAAGCCTGGAATCATGTATGCTGGTGAGCTTCATAATTTCATGGCGAACAAATATGTAGACTGCCCCATGCGTCTTTGTGATGGCTGCCATCCACTAGAAATTGGGGGGCCCTAAGGCACCCGCATGAGGATTGCTATTCTTACCCTTGGGCACCCCCATTTTTTTGTAGGATATATTTTTTCAATTTTCCAGATTATCTTTTCCTATGTGTGCCATTTGAATGTCCCATTTTGGTTGGTTCAGAACTCTAGGGGAGGATAATCTGTTTACTTGGATTGGGATGAATTTGACCATATTTTTTGCCCTGGTTTAGTCATGATTAAGGGGCATCCGATGGAGAAACCCACGCATCTTGCTGGAGATCTTCCAGGGCTGAGTACGTTTCACAAGACTTTGCCAAAAAAAATGAGGGATAAATTTCGACAGAGAAGGGCCAAGCGTAGAACGCCCTGCAAACCATACGTGAAAGGCCCTGGTGGAAGAGTCACAGGTACAAAGCATTGACAAATCTCTGGAACGTTTCACAAAATGATCAGACCGTTCACAGCTGTGCAGCTTTGCTATCATGCTATCTCTGTCAGTTAACTTGATGGGTTAGGCACCTCAAAAAAATAAAAGTTAACTTGATGGGTTAGGCACCTCAAAAAATAAAATGCACCCACAAAATAAAATGCCGGGGTTTGACCCATTTTATTTTCATTTTATTTTTATTTTTTTTATTTTAAAAGGGGCTCCTGCCCCCCCATTTTATTTTTGTACGCCGGACGGGGCTAGACCAGGCGCCCCAGCCCAGTCCGGAAACCATCCTGGCTCGTGCAGCTTAAAAGATCCGGTGGTTTGGAGTGGTTGGGAGCTACCACATGACAGTTTTGTTGACGTTTGTAGACCCCCCCTTGCTGTAGCATTGCTGCTTGGTGAACAATAGGGGCTCACAGGAACGGTTCAAAAAGTTGAACCACACCCAATTCACTTGATCCAAGTGTAGATACACGCAAGGCGTTCCGTGGCGCAAAAAATCTGCCGTACCAGCGTAGCAGTACGTACACGCCTTTTCGGTACCATCAACCTTCCGTTGGCTTACTCGTTTCAAGAATTGCCATGGGCGCAGTTTTCAATACCTGGTGGATGGCTTCTGGTTGCTTGAAAAAAAACTATGGATCATCGTTACCATCAAAACATCAAGCCACATATCTGCATGGCTGAAAAAATACGTGCAATTAATGTCAACCCTGAACTGGTAACCTGGTAAACCCTGGTTGATTATAGTACTATATAATTGAGTGGTTTACCCCAGAAGTGATCATTTCCTTGAAAATGGTCCGACCCACCAAATGATCAACGGCCCCAAAGGTCAACATTAATCCATGAAACCTCCAGGGAACTGGCCAAACGAACCCATCCACCAAACATTCGCCAAGGGTTTTAAAGGTTTTTCTAGTAATCTAGTAGGAATATATAGTAGAACCCCCTTGGTTCACAGCGATGCTGTGGGGGCTGGAAGGAATGGCTGCTACTACTTCCTCAACACAGCAGTGGATGAAAAGGGGGCCGTAGAATTCATGGAAGTAACTTGCAGTCACCTTTCCATAGTCTGGGCAGCCCTTACAACGATTCACAAACCAAAATCATCTATGGTAAATAGTGGTTTTCATGATGGTGAATAATGGAGAAGAATGGATCATAAACCATTAAATACCATTAACCATCATTATCCAGGAATCCATGATTCACCATCATTTCCTCTATGAACCCGCCGCAACGTGACTACGTGACTCTTCGTGGCAAGCGAAGGTCCCGGTGAAGATCAGCCGGTGATCATGAAAGCTTCATCTCGAACCGAAGCGACTTAGTAAAATGTTGTCCCCTGAAAACATCCAAGTTCTCCAATTTCTAGGGCCCAATAGATCCAGTTAATACTAGGGCCCAAAGTTATACCAAAGTTATCCAAGGTTGGGGTAGAATTCAATCTGTAGAACCAGCCAGTTTAAGCAACCAGCCAGGTTTTCTTTAGGTCTTCAGAATGTTGGAACCCGATAGAATTCAATCTGAGGTTATAAAAAAATAACGAAGGATGCAGAAAAAGTAGCAACATTTCATAAAACTGTGGCAAAGTTCAACTTTGTGTTGATCTTTTTGGAGATTACTATAGTGTATATATATATACGTATGTGTATGTATATATATATATTGAAAATAATGCTGACTTACTGACACCTGTTCTTGTCATCTTTGACTCGCTGGGGGATGCCACAGTTAACGCAATATTATACCAATTTTATAGCAACTTTATAGCCATTGCTTGGCCATTACATGCTAGTAGCCTCTTGTAAAATAATATAGCAATGGAAAATCACAATCTTGATAGGTAAATCAACTCTAAACGAGCCATTTTTCATAGCTATGATACTTTACCAGAGGGTAACATTTTACAAGCCGAAAGATGCTTAAATGGGTGGTTCTTAAAATTGGGGATCCCGAAAACCACGGGTTTCACTACTGACTCGGATGATTTGGGAGTAACCCCATTTTCGGAAACTTCCATATCCTCATGTTTGGTCCTCAAAACAATATATTTACCGTCTGGTTATGACTAACATAGCCATGGAAAATCCCAACCATAAATGGAGGTTGCTGGGAAAATCATCTATAAATGGGCCATCTATACCATGGCTATGTTAAATAACCAGAGGGTATATACATCCATTTCACAAGCCAGTTTTATCAACCAGCCAGCGGAGTCTCTTCTCTGATGCACCCCCCCCCTCGCAGCCTTCGTGGCCTTCGCCTTCGACTGGCTCTCCTCTGGCGACGTCGCTTTGGGAAAGGGGTCCATGGGCAGAAATCTATGATTCAAAGAAACATCAGGGGAATTTGCCCGATTTATATTAATATGATCGATCATATATATATATATCAAAACATGATTCATATCATGATTTTGATATTTTTCCAATGCCAGGTCAGTGTTTAAAAAGGTCAGCATACCCATGTATGTCCCAAAATTACTCGTCGTTGATGAGAAAACTATGCTCATCTGCGCGCATTGAGGCGTCTTTCTTTTTTAAGCAACCACATTTCATCATAAAATCCGCAAATAATTGGCGCGATCGATCATTTTTGACGTATAGAAGGCCGAATCTTCACCAAATTAACCTCTGGGGTGGTCACGTTGAGGTTGAATCCACCAGGTGACTGGCAACTCGTAAAAATGCAGGTTTTCGGTTGAAAAATCCACCCAGCCGCGCCTCTGGCTGACTTCACCTGCCAGCGATAGGGGCTGCCCGGCTCTACGCTAGTCCCGTCATCCCAAATGGCAGTTGTCAGGGAAAAACTCCGCACGGCACGGGTTGAAACCACTTGTTTTTCCAACAAGAAAACACCATAAATGGGGTGTTCAATTTCAGTTGTCTATCAGTTATTGACTAAAATACCACTATACACCCACGATTCTTCGTCAGTATCTCCCACTATCTCTCCAGAGCCATTAAAATGACCCATATCCCATCCCATTCTACTGGTTTTTCTCTCCAAAAAACCTCAAAAAACCTCAAAAACTACAGCCCCCAACCAATTGACCAACAGTCCAAACACCCCCAGAAACCATGGTTTAGTATGGTTTAGTATGGTTTAGTAAGGGATACCTTAACACATATTTGGAAGTCTGTCAAAAAAGGGGACCTGGGACCCTGGGATAGACTCGGCCGATCCCAGCCTTTTTGCCATGTGCCCAACCCGTCTTGATGTCGTGCTGTAGAACCTCCACCATATCCTGGATGGCGAGGCGACCCAAGTTGTGTATCCATTTTAAGGGAAGTCCATAGACTCCTTCCCTGCGGGAAATGGATGGAAATCGACGAAAATGTGCTTGTCCACTTCTGTTTTACCCAGCAATTTCGTCATGGCAGCATCGCCATGTTGAGTACTTCAAATAGAAGACTGAGTACCGGGCACCGCATTCCAACTTCAAATAGTCTGTTCCTGCGCAACGGATTTTGGGCAAAACAAAAAATGGTTATGGTTCAAGAATTTCTACCCAATTCTGGAAAGCTCTGATATCAAGAAAAACGCTCCGTCTGAGTAATCTGCGGGGAAATTCTTGGGAACAACCTTCCGACCAATCCTCGATGTTTCAGATTTTTTCAATATTGTCTGGTTGGTGGTGTCAATCCCTCTGAAAGATATTGGTCAGTTGGGATGATGACATTCCCAATATATGGAAAAACAAAAAATGTTCCAAACCACCAACCAGTTTTTCAATATTGTCCATAGAACTGATACGGTAGAAACACCTCGAAGTCTTGAAGTGTTCACCGTAGTGTTCGCCGTAGCATCTTTCGTGGTAGCTCTTCGCTATGGATCTACCACGTGCTGATGTGTTTAATATGTTGTTTAATCAGTATCTATATATTTCTATATATTTGACATCTATTTGTGCTATTTATATACTTTACACATCTTTACACTGCTTACATGGGCCAGGCGAAACAGAGATCCCAACGGAAGCGGTAGCTCCCGTGGACCACCAAGCATTATGCCAAAGGTGCCAAAGGAACCCACGGGGCGGAAAAAATGGAACCGCCCACCAGATATATATATATATATATATTTGTTATATAATATATTTATTTATCTATTATATATCATATATATATATATATCATATATATATGGTGTTGTCCAACAAGGATGGAGTTAATCCCAAATGGCATCACTGGCTGCGTCAGGTGCCGGTTTCTGACCAAACATATACAAAACATATCAATCTCTGCGAATGGTCCTAACTCGCTGGTGATGGTAAGTGTCTTATCTGGTAGCTATACTGGCAGAATCGTGGGGCACTTCTAGCGGTGGAATATTTTGCTTTGACAAAGTTTAAGATTTGGGATTTGATAGGGATTAGTACTGTTAAGTAAAATTGAACTACTGATTTGGGATTTTAGTACTAGTCCCTACTTAGTAGTCCCTATAAACGACCCAGTAATACTTCAACTAGCCAGTTCAAACCCCTGTAACGTCGTCTGTTTCTAAGTACTGGCTAGTTGAGAACGGGATTCCCGAGATTCCTCTATATAATGGATTGTGATAATCCCCCATATTTTGGCTAGCACAATCCCCTAGAGCCTTTAGTCAACAAACAATATATTAAGGCAACTGAAAACACTGCCCATTTATATGTCACCTTTAAGAAAAATATATCAAACAATTTGTGTATCATATGTCTTGTGCATATGTCTTGTATATTCATACGATCCATCCTCAGTGGCAAACTCCAAACAGCCACACCATGGGCTTGCTGAGTCTATTCTTGGCAGGCCTCCCCCCCAAACGAAGTTTAAAGTCATAAACCCAATGCCATAAACAATGCCCAAAATCACCATCCCCCAATGGTAGGCTCATTATTGGTTTGCCCACATTATTCTTATAAAAACTGCCCATTAGGCAAAAAAAATTGGTCACTGACCTTTTACTGGACCATGGAGCCATGGTAAAGCGACATCCACGTGGCCGTCAACGCTGGCGTACCTTCTTGGTCCCATTTTTTCACAATCATCCGAGTTCTGATGGCCTGTCCACTGGGCCCAAAAAGGATCGTTTGGTGCCCCGAAACATGATGTTTGTTGCAACATGTCAGACATGTCATCAGCCCATCACCCCATCTAACTACAAAATGATATAGAGATACCCATCTAGAATCTAGTTATTGTAGTTATTAACCAATTTGTTGTCCGTCTATAGGTATGTTATAATCACCACCCGAACGTTGACCCATGTCAACCTCGTAGCAGGGATGGGAAGTCTACATGCCAAGTCACCATGGTTTCAATACTAAGATTGTCCAATGACTTAGACGATTTGGGGTACCCCTATTTTAGGAAACCTCTCTATATACCCCATTTCATCCACCGGTTACGCATCATCTTCCCTACTGTCGCATGTTGGTTTGTTGTTCCCCTTCTGACAATATCATTCTTAGCGGCCACAAAGGGTACCAAGTGTGTGTGTGTGTGTGGGTGCGTGTGTGTGTTGGTGTGTGTGTGTGTTGGTGTGTGTGTGTGTTGGTGTGTGTGTGTGTTGGTGTGTGTGTGTTGTGTTGGTGTGTGTGTTGTGTTGGTGTGTGTGTGGTGTTGGTGTGTGTGTGGTGTTGGTGTGTGTGTGGTGTTGGTGTGTGTGTGGTGTTGGTGTG